GAACGATTTCCCTTAATGTAGAATTTACAAGCATCTTATTATCGGCTATGTAAGGGAGCTGGCTATTGCTTTTCATCTCACACTACATCTCAAGCCATTAGAACACCAGCATCATATTTGCTGATCATTTTTCCCTGGTCACTCTCTGCTTAGCCCTTTCTTCCAAGCTTGATAATTGTTTCTAACTGGTGAATCATTGGATTTAATGCCATATTACCGTTATTGCTTGAGACTGATGTCAAGAAAATGTTTGAGCATGTTCCTGGTTGAAATTGTTTTTATTAGGGTTTGGCCTTGCTTTGGCTCTGAAACAATTATAATTAGAAAGACAATAATTATCTATGGAACCAAAAATTCAGAATATGCAACAAGAAATTGAAGCTGAGAAAGAGAAAGAAACATTGACATTTCAAGCTGAAAAAGAAAGAGGAAATGTAGAATTTCAGATTAAGGAGAAACGAATTGATTAACAAAATAGTCCCTCTCACAGGTGATAGACTCTTTGATCTTAGGAAGACGATTAGACATATTGTACCTTTTACTGAATGTGATGTTCAAGAGGTTTTCTTACATTTTGAAAACATGGCTAACAATGAAATGACCTGGGAATCAGGGAAACAGCTCAATAAGTATATTCTGCCCTATCTATCTACAATATGAGACGGTTGACTTTGCTTCCTGATTTTAAGCAATGTGTCAGGAGATATTCGAACATATCGTGAAGAGCAGAAATTTGATTAGTTGCGCTAGGCTGCTTCTTTGGCGGGCGAGTGTTCTCTCCTATATGTGTATGGGTTTTTTTCGAGTGCACCTGTCCTTTTCTTTGAATTTGTATACTGACTTGGTGTCTGGGTTTTGAAGGTGGGGGTTGTAGAAACACTCCCTAGCAAAGATGTGCTTTCAAATGTGCTTATTGTAAATGATTTGGCATGGCGGAAATGTGTGGCCTCGCACTTCGGAGAGTACTGCAAATCCTTCAAAAAAGGAGTTCGAGGAATTGTTTTCTTCCTTTGCTATTACTCGTGCAAACGTTGGGCAAATGTCTTCCAAGACTGATTCCAGTTAATACTTGGTTGACACATTTCACAGATCGTTCTCTTTATTTGCGAGGGGGAGGAGTACTAAATGTCCTGACACCATTTCTGAGCAGGGGTCATTTGGTTAGGTGCAGGCAGAAGACCCATAAGTTCTTGCCAATAGAGCACTCTCTTTCAACAAATAGCATTTTGATTACACAATGTCATATAGAAAGTGGTCAAATGAAACAACACGTATTCAATGGGAATTTGAAAGAACTGTCTGATGAATGTCTCCACTCATTATCAGTAGGTACATGTACATCTGGCGGCATATCAAAATGCTATTTGTAACATATGTTATATTTGGGATTACACTTTCTTAGTAAAGTAGAGATTCTTGTCCTTTTGTTGGGTTGAGTCCCATCCAGGATTCGAACCCACACCATCAGAGTCAGGCACCTAATAGCCAGCATACAAAGTCAGCCGCCCAACTCGCTCAGTCACTGCAACATCCACTGGCTGAGCGGGTTATAGGCAGCTGACTTTGTGTACTGGCGATTAGGTGCCTGACTCTGAGAGTGTGGGTTCGAATGTGGGGACTTAACCCAACAAAATACAACAACAATCTGTACTTAACTAAGAAAGTTAAATTTCCCATCGAATACGTGTTGTGGTTTTGGCAAAAGAAACATTGACAGATCATTTGGATGTAAGCGTAACTTGTGACAAAATTGATGTGGCTGAAGCTGCCATGTGTGTCAAAGGGTTGGGAAACCAAATCAGAAAATACCAACTGCACCATTGAAATTCATTCCAGCAGAGCCATTATTTACTGTGTTGCTCGTTCGCCTAAATCTAAGTCAGGCAGCAGGTACGTGCTTACCATCGGGCACTTCCACAAAAATTCCAGAGGCTATCCATTTACGGAAAATGATGGCATTGTCATTGTCAAGGCTTAAATTTACTTGCTGGTTTGCCTGAGACTCTTCGCCAAACAGTGAGATCAAGGCATCAAATCCTTGTCAGGTGTATTGCAACAGGTTATAACTCAGGTAAAGTCCAGAGCTTAAGATGTTTGAGAGCATGTGATGGACTTTTAAGCATGTGATGGACTTACTGTTTTAAGACTGAAAAGGACTGGGATGAAGGCATTTATTTGTTCGTGGATCTTTAAAGCATTGGAAGGTGCAATCGTTTAATAATGAAACACATTTGCTGGATTATGATTATGTAGGTGACACTGTGCCCGTGAAACAATCAAGCTTGAACCCTTGAAGAAGGAGATTCAATACGTGAAAGACAAATACATTATTGAACCAAGTCAAAGTGTCTCGGGCCCTCTTTGAATTATTGTGATGACGTCTGATTGAGGTTATAGATGCTGTACGAAGAGGAAACGAGAGAACACTGTTTCTAAAACTGACTCTAACTCATTACCACGAACTGGTGATTCCAGCAAAGGAATCAGTAAAGCCATGTACGAATGCAAGTTTGACTTTAATTAAGGGTATTAGCAGATTCCATTAATGAGCAGGATTACAGCTATTGTGACCCAAGATGAACTTTATAGATACAAAGTTATGTCATTTGGGAACGTTCCAGCTACCTTCCTGCATTTCATCAAGGACATTACCAGCAATCTGGTGGGTTTTGCACCTACAATGATGATACTATGACTGTCCATTAGCAAACTAGGAATTTGCAAAGGCAATTTGTAGGTCCTGGCAAAGTCAGGTACAGCCAGCTCAAACAAAGGTGGAATATGTTTCAAAATTGTCAGTTCTCAAAAAGAAAAAGGAACTTTTGACCTTTCTAGGAATGGGTGGCACTTGTGGCAGGTCCTCTCACTAATCAAGATTATGAACTTGCCCGATACTGGCGAGATCAAATCAGAGAGGTATCATTACTAAAGAAGTGTGAATATTCTTAAACTTAAAAATTAATTCATCAAAGAATCCCGTTAATAATAATATCACACAATGACACTTCAGTTCCTTCAAGAGAAATATGAAAAGCAATGTTTTAGTTCTGATAACAACCTGATCATTTATTTCTTGAATACAAGAGTGCATACAAAACTGGTTCCAGGTTCATCGCTACTGCCAAACACAACGTCTCAGCGGATCCTGCTCAGCTTCTGGTGGTTGTTTTGCATTGCTATATTGTCAGTGTATTCCGGAAATCTCATTGCCAAACTTGCTGTGACCAATGACAGTGTCCCATTCTCTGGTATTGATAATCTGCTTGACAGTGGGTATGATATTGGAGTTAGTGATGGTTCAAACGCAGCGGTGATCTTGGGGGTAAGAATTGAATCATGAATCCAAATTTTTGTTGAACCTAAGTGTACTTCAAAATGTAGTCAACACTCATAAAGATTATTGATTTGATCTGTTATAAACTATGCTTCTTTAAATTACGTCAGTGCGTGTCTTTTGTTGCAGGAGTCGAATGACGCAGTTTATGCTGAGATTTGGAGAAAGAGTAATCTCCACCGATCTGACAACAAAGAGTACCATGCCACACGACTGGCTAAAGGGCGATATGCTTACTTCACGGATCGTATTACTATAAACAGCTACATGATGGAAATAGGAGGCATGGCACATACAAAGGAACAGTCATTTCAGACAATATCTTCGCTGATTATACCAAAGCACTCTACCTTGGCATTGTTGATGGATCTAGAGTGAGTACACGTATTGACGTGTGGTTTGTTTCACGTCAGGGATTCACATTCGCGAGATTCTGAAAATCTTAGAGGAATCAGAAACATCTAAAACATGGAAAGGCAGTGGATGCTGATATCCTCACTATTTAGAGATATATGAAACAGTTTGCTATCCATTCATATCTTTATCATTGCCTAGTCTGTCTTATTTATCACGTTTATCAATCGTTTTTGTCTGCATAATTACAGGCTCATGTTCTTGGTGGAGCGTGGGATTATGGATCAGTGGTATGAAAGAACCACCAAGAAAAAATCTTCATCAATGGAGGACGAACACAATGGTCTGGAAACAAAGGATCTTTTCACAGCACTGGTTGTTGCCGCGTGTGGTGTCGGACTAGCAGCCGTTGTTCTACTATTGGAGATATGTAAATCTAAAGTACTAACTTGATATGATCCACGATCTTGACACTCAAGACTGAAAGAGCACTTGAAGGAGACAATAAGTTACTAAAACCGGGGACATGCTATCGTTGCAATGACCTGTGACTACTGAATAAGTGCATACACTCCACTCCTTTTGGGCATGCTCAGATTACACATATCAACATGTACGCAATCTGCTGTATAAGTTGTTTTAATGTATGTACAAGGTGTTTGAAAAATGTTTAATCTGGTCAGAACGCTCGCTTGTAGTTTTTATTCTATAGACCCGTTAAAGTCCGGCTTAGAATTGATCTTCAGTAACCCATGCTTGTCATAAGAGGCGACTGACGGGATCGGGTGGTCAGGCTCACTCACTGGGTTGGCACAAGTCATCGTATCCCAGTTACGTAAAACGATGTTCATGCTGTTGATCACTGGAATGTCTGGTCCAGACTCGATTATTTACAGACCGCCACCATATAGCTGGAATATTGCTGAATGCGGCGTAAGACTAAACTCACTCACTAATCACTCGTCTGTTTCAACCTGTCAAAACCACAAGCAAAAACAATCTTTGCTGACTTTCAACAATATTCATGTTTACCATCGGTGCTGTTACCTCCTTTGTCCATTATCTATCAGTGCTTGATTACCTATCAGGATTGCTTAGCACTCTTAACCAGTCAATTATACTATGTACATAATGTCAGGAGAAATACTTATTTGCAGTGTAAGTGGTCCAGACAAGGCGTGGCAATGTACTGTACACAGCTACGCTCAAACTGAAATTAATCATCATTAGTACTCAACTCAATTGAAACATCGTATAGGCGTGTGAAGATATATTTCCTTTGTGATGATCAGTAATTGGTATAAATCCTGAACCGAATTAAATAACTGTTTATTGTACAGTTTTTGTGGCTTGAACATCCGATCCAGATAGACGGTATGTCAGCAATGTCAACATACATTTTGTGTAAATGCTATAACTATTGTGTCTTGTCATGTTACATTTTGACGATCTGCAGTGTTGATAAACAGGCGATAAATATAGAAATGGCAAGTCATATAGATGCCAACGTCTATATTCTTTCAGTGCGACTGTTCCGGATATTTGTTCCGAACATTTTATTCTCACATTCAAAGACTGTACAAGACAGATTGTACGCAGCAGCGCCTTTCTCTCAATAAGTTCATGATAAATATATATCCGATGTGTGTTGATTAAAGACAAAAGTTCACTATGTGGTATTACGTAAATATAATGTATAAAGTCAATGAACTACGTTTGGTATGTTGACGTCTTAGTGCATGCAGGTGACCAGTTTTTTCTCCCTACTTGAACTAGCCAAGTAACATTCACTTCAGTTTGCTGGTGTTTATGTTTCGTCGTCTTACATACAGCTGGGGAGATGTCAGAGACGAAAACAGTGGTGCGGTAAATCCCAAATGTATAGGTTGTGTTGTGGCAGATAATGATCACTGATAAAGTTATTATACTATTAGGACAATATTAGGTCTGCTATATATGACAAATGTTCAGATCACGATGACGCACAATAAAATGGCGCCGAAATTACCATCAAATCTGTCTCCTCACCTCGTACAAGCATATGGTTTTTTTAAATCTAGAATCCCCATTTTAGGTAGACCAGGAGTAACATTTATCATGTTGCTGGTCCAGTATGGGGTAATTTATTGGCAATTTACTGTCCCTTGTTATCCCAAGTCATCTATCCTAGATTGCATACGCCTAGCAAAAGAAACGTACATTGTGAAAGACATAAACAAATATAGAAACCTTTTGACTGCACAGGTTGGTTAGTTGGTTTAAAGCAGCACAATATTCTAGCAATATGGCGGTGGTCTGTAAATAATCAAGACTGGACCGCACTTCTGCACAGGACAGAAAAGGTAATGTTATTTTGTTCAATTGGTCTTAGTAAACAGGCAATGGCCTACCACAATATCAAGTTTAATGTTTTCTAAATCTGCTTCAACCAGAAACGATTCAAGGCTATTATAGAAATTGTCTATGATATCCTCCCTCTCCGACTCCTTCCTTGCAGCAAGAGCTACTTCCAAAACGGTATGAATCCAACACTTCTGTGCTCGAACAAATGCCTGAGCAAATGCCTTCCGGTGATCGGCGGAATACAAATCCTTCAATTGTCGCCATTGAGATAGGAAAACAGACTCATGGCGCCTGACATCGACTGACATCATCCGCAGTCCTGCCTTGTAGACATCAGACTTAATGTTATTTGTCTCTCCAACGAAGTCGTCCAGATTCCTGAAATAGACATTTAAAGTGGCCAGTTCATATTCCTTCTGCGTAATTTTTCCTGCATTGCGAAAATATCTCCAGATTTGAGTCATTTGTCTGTGAAGGTCCTCATAAGAGTTATAATCGTTTTCCTGCTGGCTTCCTTCCTTCATCATTGCTGACGCCGTCACCAGCATTATTCCACCGTGTCGGAGCTCCTTTGCTCTAATCAAGAGGAAACGATTCCAGTCTTCTTCTGCCCTCTTTCTTGCCATTTCAGCCTCTTCTTTTGTAGCATCTGGGAAATGACTCAATGAATCTTTGAAGGGAACCATCTCCTGTGACAAGAAGTGAACTCCCATCAAACAAAGTATAATGTCCATCGTCTCAGATTTCACACAATGCTCGAAGAAGCTGGTACCAGTGGCAAACAAGTACACGTTTCCCAGGTCTTGCAAACAGCAACCCTTCCTGTCCGGTTTTAACCCATGGAGTCGACTGAAAAGTGAGTTGAAGTCGTTAATGGCTTGGTCCTCGTATATTACAGTCACTGATACATCCTGGCCATGTTTAGTGCGCAAAAACAGTATGATATCTCGTATGAAGCCCATTGAGGTTGCTCCGTCGGCTGAGCCATAGTCGCCAATGGTGACATGGCGGGTAATGGGGTCAACCGGAAGTGTATCAAGAAGCCGGAAGAAGGTTTCTCTGTCAGAGTTCAATAAAGAGATGCATTCGTGTGCCATATTGTCGCCATAGTAACCGGTTCCAGTTTTTCCGTAAGGACGATGGCTATGAGAATGGGACATTTTAGTGTATACGCTTCCTGAAAAAGAAATAACACATACACATTAGTATGAGGGAAGATTAACAAGACCGAAGACATTCTAAACAACATTTTGTTGAAAAATATTTTTTTCAATGTTAAGGGCTAATATATAATCCTTCTACAAGTAGTACAATCATCAAGTTGACAATAAACATTTTGTAATCGTTTTTCTCAATATCAAAAACATTTATATGTTTCCTTTACCACGTGTATGAACAACTGTCACATGGCAATCTTGTTAGGTCGCCATATTGTCATCTGGCTTTTTTTCTGTCTTTTAGCGACGCACTGAATATGCCAGTTATTGTCAGACATTAACGCATCAGAGCATTCAACTGTGGTAAGACGTCACGCAATGAGACAGGTCAAAATGCAGGCCACGAACCCACAATGACGCCTGTTACGACAACCACGGGATACTGGAATCACTCCTCTTTTGACAATACTATCAGTTGTATCACAGAAAAAACATTTCTCGAGAGTGGCACAGGTCATAGATGTTTACAACATGGACGATACTTGCTGACATGGGTGTTGCACTGATAATCTAGACAAGAACCAAGACGAATCGGGGGTTCGAAGTGGAGATGAGTATATCGTTGTTACTCATACAAAGGGAGCATCCTATAATAAGACAAAACTATTGAACACAAGTGTGAGAAGTCAAATAGACGTACTGTACTCTTTGCAAGTGAAATAAGTAATCAGTGCAATGTATATAGTGTGTGAATGGGGTATCCATGTTAAACTGAAGCATTCCATCGTTATTTGTCAGCACATGCACATGCAAGCATGCGCACCGGAATACAAGTGAAAACATTCTTGAATTCTAATCTTGAAACCAAATATTTTCCAAAGCTCACTTCACTTATCGCAATGTAATTTAGAGAAACATAGTAAATCAATGAATCTGGAACATTAAAGTCAACTGGGTTTGTGCGATGAGGTAGAGTGCCGCGCTGGACGTGATTAATGAAAATATGAAATACGAACGTAAATGTAACATGAGTTAATATATATGTTGCAGTATACGATATAGTATCACTGAAGACAGCTGTCCAGGTCAGTCTGACTCGTCACAGAGAACTAAAGGTTTCTTCCACTTGACCAACATAATAACACTGACCCAGCATTTGAGCACTTTTTTCATTATGCGCCAATAAACAACACATGAACAACCAAAAACTAGGAATGGTGAACTATACCATTCCCAACGAAGGAAAAGAAACGTGACCGCCCTTCCTCCTGCCTTCGGGAGAAAAACAAATCAGTTGAACATAACCTGACAATGTTCATCAAAAGGTAATGTCTTTGGCAATATTATGTGTAAGTGATGAATTATATCAAGTAACGAACAGTCATTAAGTCAAGTCCCACTCGCCAAATCGTTGCCACGTCACACTGGCTGGGCGCAAGTACGCTGAGATCGCCTCGAAGGTATGGATATGTCTGCCACAGTCTCTTGACTAGAGGACAGGTCGTACACTCCAGGTGGGTCACAGATGGGAAGCTTTGCAGACTGGGAATGAGCGAAACCTTGAATATTGTCACGTTCAGTCAAGCCTCTGATTTGGTCATTATAGTGCAGGGACTTGTGTAATTCCGTGGGAATTTCATGTTAATTTTTGGAACCAATACTAATTGTAACCACTATTGTGTATGGATTCAGGAAAAAAATGATTCCATTTTTTCTGTTTGCTATAAGTGTCATTGTGGGGTGATTGAATATGAGCTCCCAGAAAATCCTTGCGACACCATTTCGAGAAAAACATGTTTTCATAAACCTATCACACTAAAGTCATGTAGCATATCAAAAGGCTGCTTATGATGCATGATATAGAAATAACCAAATAATATGCTTCTAATTTCAATTTGGTGACATAAAATATGACATAATCACATATATTAATTAACTGATTATGACGTGGAATTCATTGCCTGATGGAGCTGTTAACGCTATTTCCCTGAATCAATTTATAAACATGATAAACACAACAGAAACTCACAATTACTTTGATTTGAATTATGAAACTAGATTTTGTCAAATTATTCATTGTCGCCTCAAGCTCGGCTGTAGTGATCTAAACGCAGACAGATATAATCGGCATATATCGGACACACCCAGGTGCTCATGTGGTTATTATAACGAATACGTTATTCACTACCTTTTTACATGTGGGAACTATCAAAATTTAAGAACTGTGTATTTTTATATTCAAGGATATGATGTTAAAACTACTTTATACCGCAACGGCGCATTGAATAACTCAACTAATAGTGACATTCTTAGCTCATTACCGCTTCCAGTGATTATCCCCTCAACATTACTGAAAGGCAAAAGAAACGTCGTTATATTAGAAATGACGTTTGAGTATCAATGGAGTATTTGAACCTATTTTTTTAAATATACACCAGAAGTCAAGTTTGAGGAAACATGAATCGTGGTCGTATAGCCTGCATTGCCCAATAAAGTATTGTTTGAGATTGAAGTTAGAAATGTTTTGTTTTTTGGAGAGGGAAAAGTTCCCACAAACACAACATTGAAATCAAGATGCACATGCATCATTAATGCATTCAGGCATAAATTGCCGGCTTGAATGGCAATCGTTCATTTGTTTTCTGAACACAGCAGCTATGACTAGGTTAACGAGAGATCAACCACAACAAGCTATTGGACGTCTGCACGCTGGTCAACATGCTTGAGTCATTGCTAATGACTTCAGTTGCAGCGTACGAACGATAGAACGTCTTAGAGTGCGATACAACGTCACCAGCAGCACTGATGACCGTCCACGTAGTGGTCAACCCCGTGTAACAACACGTCGCCAGGATCGTCATATCGTCCATCAACACGTGCAAGACCTATTCGCAAGGGCCAGAGAAACAGCTTGGGTGACCATAGGAAACCACCAGCGACCAGTCAGTGACCTACCATTCGGCGACGTCTCCAAGCCAGGAACCTGTTTTGTCGATGTCCTGCCAGGAGACCCATATTCACCCAACGTCACCGCCGGGAACGTATCCAAGTGGACACAACAGCGGCAAAACTGTCGTGGGGGACAATGGAGAGGGGTTATCTTCTCTGATGAAAGTCGGTACTGCATTTCAGTGGCGTATTATTTTAAAAAAATAGGTTCAAATGTTCCATTGATACTTAAATGTCATTTCCAATATTACGACATTTCTTTTGCCTTTCAGTATATATATTCAGTGTAAAACAAAAATGTTATATAACGTGATATTCTGCGGCAGCCCATTTCGTTGGTTAATGTGACTACCAGTACAGTCAGAATTGACACACTGACACTCGTGTCTGGGTAATTGGTTTCAACATATTTTTATTCCTGAAAGAATCTGGTTTGGTAAACAAGCAAAGCTTTGCTTTTGTGAATACCTCACCAGTACAAATATAACACAAACAGAACACACAAGAACTAGACAAAAGACAGAATGAAATAGACAAACTCAAAATCTAAAATCGGAACATCGTATGTGCATTGAGAACAACGCACCCGCAGTTATGTTTAATTACTTTTTGTTAAGATAATTGTTATTTATTATTTCGTTTAGACCGTATTATCGAAACGTTTAGTCTTGCAAATGAATTGGTGGAGAGACTCTAAAATCTTCTTATTTTCTTTGTTGGTAGTTGGCGGTGTTCCGTATAACACAGTTTGGAGGCTGTGACCACTTATATAAAAGTATGCATTATTTCTGATGGCAGTATATAATTTACATGTACAGAGATAATGAATAACATTTTCATCGTGGTATCCACAAACGCATTCAGCATTAGTTGATATATATCTGTTGACTTTATCCGCATTTAGATCACTGCAGCCGAGCTTGAGACGACTGTGCACAATTTGACAAAATCGGCTATCATAATTCAGGCCAAGATAATTATTGGATTCATAATTTATTAACAGAGTTTAAAATTCGCCTATTGTATTAGCATTCGTGACGTCGTCTGGCAACGAATTCCAAATTTTAATTGTGTCTGGCAGGAATGATTTTTCATATGTTTTTGTCCTACAGTTTATTGTTTGTAACTTGGGATTGTTTCTGAGATTGTGTTGACTATTGTCAGAAACAGTTTTAGGTACAAGATGACGTAAGTAGTTATTCATTTTGTAAAAGTTTACTAATTTGATGTCATGCCTTCTTTCCTTTAATGGTTTAAAATGAATTTCAAAATAAAAAACTCGTTCCACGAACCACGACGCATATGGTGCAGAGTGCATCTCAGTGTAACCGTTCAAGAAGTGATTGATCAATCGTACAGTTATCCCAAATATGACAACAGTAATCAAATATCGGCATCACGAATGACTTTTACATGGTTTCAAGCATTTCCCTAGAAAGGCGATATTTGAAACCTTGAAGACAGTTTATCATGGGACTGACTTTGTCAACAATATCTTCAATATGGCTTTTCCATGCACAATCACTCTGAAGAATTATGCCTAGATGTTTATGATTTTGCACTTCTTGTATCGGGTTTTGATGCATGTTTAAAGTCAGAATCATATCAGTTTTATGCCTGCGAGAAAAATTTACTGTTTCCGTTTTACTAGGATTAAAGTTAACCTGCCACTTTTCTGCCCAGTTTGAAATTCCGTTTAGATCATCATGGAGACAAGCTGCTGCAACATTGTGATCATCTGGGTAATTAAAAGACAAATGGACATAAAACCAAATCTGCAGTCAATATAAACTGAATGTAATAATACAGGAGTGACAAATTATATCACAGTGAACAGATAACTACATATTACAGGTGGGGTATGCAAGTGCTATATATATGGTGTGCAATAGTATATTTATGTTAACCTTTACATTGTATAAGGTCACATGCAACGTAAAACACAACTTTGCAGATTCGGATACCTTTCGGTATGGACTTGCCGAAACAAAGCGTCAAAAATGCAAATTCAACTTATAAAGTTGAAAAATAACGCGATGAAAAAAAACGCGCGAAATCGGAGTTCAAACGT